GAGAGGAGGTAGAGAGAGCGAGAGAGGGAGAGAGAGGGAGACAGAGGTAGAGAGAGGTAGAGAGAGAGAGAGAGAGAGAGAGGGAGAGAGAGGGAGACAGAGGTAGAGAGAGGTAGAGAGAGGGAGAGAGGGAGACAGAGGTAGAGAGAGGTAGAGAGAGAGAGAGAGAGAGAGGGGTATAGAGAGGAGGTAGAGAGAGCGAGAGAGGGAGAGAGAGGGAGACAGAGGTAGAGAGAGGTAGAGAGAGAGAGAGAGAGAGAGAGAGAGCCCCGCACAAGCTGTAAATAATATTTATTCCCTTCTAGACTCTGAATCACATTACGGCTCCGTTATAGTTATGAGTTGGTGATAAATCTGAGGCTGTTGTTCAGGTAAATCTGCCTTTCACTGTTTTGCAGCCCGTTTTCATTTGAAACTGTGTCATTTTCTCTCAGGAAAGTCTCTTAAAAATGAACTCGGACTCAAACGTGATCACGACCGAGTTTAATTACATTCAGAATTTTGATTAAAAATTTGCTCGGGGTATAAATTCTGAAATTCCGAAATGTAGTGCAATTAAATCAGAGTGATTAAATCAAAGATGATCAAAGTGTCTAAATACGTCATAGTGGCATGGAAATATCATCCATAATTTGCATAATTGGACCCCCCCCCCCAAGCTTGCTGCATTACACAGTACCAGATAACAACAACAGCAGTGGTCAGCTGTGAGAGCTTTTGGATTTTCCAGCAAACCGCAGAGAGTCTGTATTACAGTGAAATGGATGCAGGTTGTCCAAAAGAAGGTCTATAAACTCAGAGGCGACGGCGGAGTCTGCACTGCAAAAAATGATATCCTGTCAAAGATCCTGTAAAATTATCTTAAATATAGTCAAGAAGTCTAATATTTCTCCACATTTTTACTTGTTTTAAGTCATTTTATCAAGTAAAATTATCTCACTATGTTGGCAGATAATCATGTTTGTTTTAAGAAATGAGACTGAAACCAGCAAAATGATCTGAGATAATTTTACTTAATTAAAATGACCTAAAACAGGTAGAAAAAATCTGGAAATAAGCTGGATAATCTTTTAATAAGTGCACAAGCACCTCAAAATGGGAAATGTTAGATATATCAACTAGATTTAAGATCATTTCACTTGGCAAGAGACCATTTCCTGCTGTGCGTTTCTAACTGAGAAGGTTGTCTCTAGCATTTTTTTCATTTAGGCTAAGGCAAATATCATTTAGAGGCCAGGCAGCGTCATTAAAATTACACAAAATCTGATAAATTCTTGCTTTTTAAACTGTATTTTTTTAAAAGTTCTTTGCTGTAGATTAGAATTGTAAAATTGGTGCTAAACTCATTTCCATTTAAGTATTAAACTAGTGCTAACGCTAGCTAAGTAGCTAGCTAACAACATTTAAAAACATTTAAAATACACTGAATAAGATGGTTCTTCAAGTGTTCTTTAGTAAATACAATGGTTCTATAGAGGATCATGAACACTCAAAGAATCATTTGCATGCTTAAAGGCTTAAAGCGTTCTTTGCATCATGAAGTGGTAAAAGTGAAACACCCACATACACAGTAGTGAAGGAGAGTGAAGGAGAGTGAAGGAGAGGAGAGTGAAGGAGAGTAAAGGAGAGTGAACAGTGAACAGATAAAGAAGACGGCTGGTTTCAATCACAGTTATTACAAGTACAAGAGTAAAGGAGAGCAGAGTAAAGGAGAGGAGAGTGAATCAGAGTAAAGGAGAGCAGAGTAAAGGAGAGGAGAGTGAATCAGAGTAAAGGAGAGGAGAGTGAATCAGAGTAAAGGAGAGCAGAGTAAAGGAGAGGAGAGTGAATCAGAGTAAAGGAGAGCAGAGTAAAGGAGAGGAGAGTGAATCAGAGTAAAAGAGAGCAGAGTAAAGGAGAGGAGAGTGAATCAGAGTAAAGGAGAGGAGAGTGAATCAGAGTAAAGGAGAGGAGAGTAAAGGAGAGGAGAGTGAATCAGAGTAAAGGAGAGGAGAGTGAATCAGAGTAAAGGAGAGGAGAGTGAATCAGAGTAAAGGAGAGCAGAGTAAAGGAGAAGAGAGTGAATCAGAGTAAAGGAGAGGAGAGTAAAGGAGAGGAGAGTGAATCAGAGTAAAGGAGAGGAGAGTGAATCAGAGTAAAGGAGAGGAGAGTGAATCAGAGTAAAGGAGAGCAGAGTAAAGGAGAAGAGAGTGAATCAGAGTATAGGAGAGCAGAGTAAAGGAGAGGAGAGTGAATCAGAGTAAAGGAGAGGAGAGTGAATCAGAGTAAAGGAGAGCAGAGTAGAGGAGAGGAGAGTGAATCAGAGTAAAGGAGAGCAGAGTAAAGGAGAAGAGAGTGAATCAGAGTAAAGGAGAGAGAGTAAAGGAGAGGAGAGTGAATCAGAGTAAAGGAGGGAGAGTGAACAGAGTAAAGGAGAGCAGAGTAAAGGAGAGGAGAGTGAATCAGAGTAAAGGAGAGGAGAGTGAATCAGAGTAAAGGAGAGCAGAGTAAAGGACCAGAGTGAACCAGAGTAAAGGAGAGCAGAGTAAAGGAGAGGAGAGTGAATCAGAGTAAAGGAGAGGAGAGTGAATCAGAGTAAAGGAGAGCAGAGTAGAGGAGAGGAGAGTGAATCAGAGTAAAGGAGAGCAGAGTAAAGGAGAAGAGAGTGAATCAGAGTAAAGGAGAGCAGAGTAAAGGAGAGGAGAGTGAATCAGAGTAAAGGAGAGGAGAGTGAATCAGAGTAAAGGAGAGCAGAGTAAAGGAGAAGAGAGTGAATCAGAGTAAAGGAGAGCAGAGTAAAGGAGAGGAGAGTGAATCAGAGTAAAGGAGAGCAGAGTAAAGGACCAGAGTGAACCAGAGTAAAGGAGAGCAGAGTAAAGGAAGAGGGATCAGAGTAAAGAAGCAGAGTAAAGGGAGGAGAGTGAATCAGAGTAAAGGAGAGCAGAGAGTAAGAGGAGTAAGGAGAGAGAGTGAATCAGAGTAAAGGAGGAGAGGAATCAGAGTAAAGGAGAGAATAAAGGAGAAGAGAGTGAATCAGAGTAAAGGAGAGCAGAGTAAAGGAGAGGAGAGTGAATCAGAGTAAAGGAGAAGAGAGTGAATCAGAGTAAAGGAGAGCAGAGTAAAGGAGAGGAGAGTGAATCAGAGTAAAGGAGAGGAGAGAGAATCAGAATAAAGGAGAGCAGAGTAAAGGAGAGGAGAGTGAATCAGAGTAAAGGAGAGGAGAGTGAATCAGAGTAAAGGAGAGCAGAGTAAAGGAGAGGAGAGTGAATCAGAGTAAAGGAGAGGAGAGTGAATCAGAGTAAAGGAGAGCAGAATAAAGGAGAGGAGAGTGAATCAGAGTAAAGGAGAGCAGAATAAAGGAGAGGAGAGTGAATCAGAGTAAAGGAGAGCAGAATAAAGGAGAAGAGAGTGAATCAGAGTAAAGGAGAGCAGAGTAAAGGAGAGGAGAGTGAATCAGAGTAAAGGAGAGCAGAGTAGAGGAGAGGAGAGTGAATCAGAGTAAAGGAGAGCAGAATGAACAGAGGAGAGGAGAGCAGAGTAAAGGACCAGAGTGAATCAGAGTAAAGGAGAGCAGAGTAAAGGAGAGGAGAGTGAATCAGAGTAAAGGAGAGGAGAGTGATCAGAGAAAGTGAAGCAGAGTAAAGGAGAGCAGAGTGAATCAGAGTAAAGGAGAGGAGAGTGAATCAGAATAAAGGAGAGGAGAATGAATCAGCGTAAAGGAGAGGAGAGTAAAGGAGAGTAATGGAGAGTGAAGGAGAGGAGAATGAAGGAGAGTAAAGAAGAAGAGAGTAATGGAGAGGAGAAAGAAGGAGAGTAAAGGAGAGGAGAGTAAAGGAGAGGAGAATGAAGGAGAGTGAAGGAGAGTGAAGGAGAGGAGAGTGAATCAGGGTAAAGGAGAGGAGAGTAAATGAGAGTAACGGAGAGTGAAGGAGAGGAGAGTTCTATATTTATTGAGTGCCGTATTATTTGCATGCTTAAATGGTTCTTTGCATGGTGAAACAGTTCTTCAGAATAATGGAGAATGTGCTGTAGATGGTTCTATATAGAATCTTCTTAAAATGGGTTCTATTTAGCACCAAAAAGTTTCTTCTATTTTAACAAGCTTGACATCAAAGTAATAGCAGAACCCTTTTTGGTGCTATATAGAACCATATACATCACATTCTCCATGAATCTGGAGAACCATTTAAGCATCCAAATGGTTCTTTGAGTTTTGATGGTTCCATGTACTGCAAAAACCCTTGAAGAACCATCCCTGCTGAAAAATCTCATAGAAATCATTAAGGGTTTCTGTTGGTTCCTGATGGTTTCGTAATGTGATTTAGTGAGAATGGTTCTATACAGCACCACGAAAAGGGTTCTTCTAATGTTAAGCTTGTATACAATAGCAGAACACTTTCTGGTTCTATATAGAACCCTTTTCAAAAAGGGTTCTTTAGTAAAGCGAATGATTCTCTTTAGAACCATGAGTTCTATATTTATTGAGTGCCATATTATTTGCACGGTTCTTTGCATGATGAAACGGTTCTTCAGGAAAATGGAGAATGTGCTGTAGATGGTTCTATATGTCTATATCTTGAAATGGGTTCTGTATAGCACCCAAAAGGGTTCTTCTGTTGTTACAAGCTTGACATCGTCATAGGAGCAGAAACCCTTTTGAGAACCATACTACTACAGCACATTCTCCAATAATCTGAAGAACCGTTTCACCATGCAAAGAACCATTTCAATAATATGGCCCTCAATAAATATAGAACTCATGGTTCTATATAGAACCATTCCCTTTAGTAAAGAACCCTTGAAGAACCATCTTTTTTAAGAGTGAATATTTGTTTTTTGGCCAAAAAAAAAAAACATTGCAGCGCGAGCCCCACAGCTGCTTCTGCACCGGTCCTGTGTTGCCGCGCGGGGGCGCGTGAAGCCGAACAGTGAGTGAGCCGGTGCAGCGGAGCTGAAAGGCGGAGTCCCGCTGAGCGCGAGCTGCACCGGAATGCGCGCGCGCGCTCACACACACACACACACACACACACACGGGGAGCTCACTGCACGGAGAAGCCGAACCTGTGAGGAGCGCACGCGCTGCTGTGTGTTTTCGGTGCTGCTCCTGCTGGAGAGAGAGAGAGAGAGTGAGTGAGTGAGTGAGTGTGAGTGAGAGACAGTTGTTGTCGCGTTTGTGGAGGCGATGCCACGGCGGCGGCGCGCGGGACCCGATCTGCACGGAGACAGGTGCGCGAGCGCAGGAGAGGAACGTTAGAGAGAGCCAGCACGCTCGCGCCTGGAGGGAGGGAGGGAGTGAGAGGGGGGGGTTGGACCACGCGCCATTGGACCCCATTTTTTGACCCCCCTCCTTTTTTTTTTACCCTTATACCCCCTCGTGCCCCGTCTTCTGCTTCTTCTTCTCCTCCTTTTCCACTCGTTCATTCTGGATTTTAGTCCTCGCGACGCAAAGGAAAAGGCAAAGAGGAGCTCGAGACACGGATTGGCACGCAGCGCACATTTCATCCACGTCAACCGGTAAGTGTGCATTGATCACTGATTACTGATTATTGGTCACTGGTGTGTGTGTGTGTGTGTGTGTGTGTGTGTGTGCGCGCGCGCGCGTGCGTGGGCTAGCTCGCGCTTTTGGCGGAGGCGCGTGCAGCTCGGCTGGAGAATTGGGGCTTGCTCGCGCAGCCTCGTCTCTTTCGTCTCGCGCTTCCCTTCAGCCTGCAAACCAGCGGAGATGTTGCTGTTGTTGTGTTGTTGTTGTTGTTGGTCAGTTATTTGTTGTTGGTTATTAGTTTATTATTGATATGTGGTGGGCTGGCAGCGTGCACGCGCGCGCGCAGGGCTGCTGTAACACGTTCTGCCTCATGATGTGCATTTAAGAACAACAAAAACAGACAGTTATGTAATAAAGTATCTCAGACTGTGTTGTTTATATTCCTGTGCAGTTGATTGCAAATGAATTGAGTTACTGCCAGAGGAAACTTTGTGCACACACAGCTTGCATAACCTTAGAAAAGCACTGACCGATAGAGCAGGACGCTCTGGAGAAACTGCACGAGCCTAAGGTCACCATGTCCAGTGGCAAGTGTGGGCTAGAGGGGTATAATGTCCCCCAGCATTGGGCTGTGGAGCAGCGGAACTGTGTTCTCTGGAGTGATGGAGCTCCATCCAATACCTTTGGGATGAGTTGGAATGATCCAGAACTGACCATCCAACATCAGTACCTGACCTCAATCAAATCCTCACAACAATATTCCAGCATCTAGTGTAAAGCCTTCCCAGAGGCTGTTACTGCAGCACAAACTCGCTTTTAACACCTTCATTTCAGAAGAAACTGAACAAACTTTAAGAGAAAAAAGGAGACAAAAAGGAGAAAAAATAAAGAAAAGGATAAAAAGGAGGATAAATGGAAAAAAGAGCAGATAATGAGAAAATATAGTAAATAAGTAAAAAAATGGAGAGAAAATAAGAGAAAGGGAGGAAAAGGGAAAGAAAAAGAGATAAACAGGCGGAAAATGGAGAAAAATGAAAGGAAAGAGAGAAAAATAGAAATGAAAAGGAGGAGAATGACTGAAAATAAAAAAGGAGAGAAAATGGGAAGAAAGGAGAGTAAAGGAGAGTGAAGGAGTGGAAAGGAGAACGAAGGAGAGGAGAGTGAGGGAGAGGAGAGTGAAAAAGAAAAGGAAAGTAAATGAGAGTGAAGGAGAGGAGAGGGGAGTGAAGGAAATGTAAGGAGAGTGAATAAGAGTGAAGGAGAGGAGAGTGAATGAGAGTAAAGGAGAATAAAGGAGAGGAAAGTACAGTAAAGGAGAGTAAAGAAGAGGAGAGTGAATGAGAGTAAAGGAGAGAAGAGTGAATGAGAGTAAAGGAGAAGAGAGTGAAGGAGAGTGAAGGAGAGGAGAGTAAAGGAGAGGAGAGTGAATGTGAGGAAAGGAGAGTGAAGGACAGAAGAGTGAATTAGAGTGAAGGATGGGAGAGGAGAGTAAAGGAGAGGAGAATGAAGGAGAGTTAAGGAGAGGAGAGTAAATGAGAGTAATGGAGGGTAAAGGAGAGGAGAGTGAAGGCGAGTGAAGGAGAGGATAGTGAAGGCGAGTGAAGGAGAGGAGAGTAAAGGAGAGTGAAGGAGAGGAGAGTGAAGGAGAGTGAAGGAGAGAAGAGTGAAGGAGAGTGAAGGAGAGTGAATGACAGTGAAGGAGAGGAGAGTGAAGGCGAGTGAAGGAGAGTGAATGACAGTGAAGGAGAGGAGAGTGAAGGAGAGTGAAGGAGAGTGAATGACAGTGAAGGAGAGGAGAGTGAAGGAGAGTGAAGGAGAGTGAATGACAGTGAAGGAGAGGAGAGTGAAGGCGAGTGAAGAAGAGTGAATGACAGTGAAGGAGAGGAGAGTGAAGGCGAGTGAAGGCGAGTGAAGGCGAGTGAAGGAGAGTGAATGAGAGTGAAGGAGAGTGAACACAGTGAGCAGATAAAGAAGGCGGCTGGTTTCGATCACAGTTTTTACAAACTTATTTACAGAAATTCTAAAAAATACTAATTTAAATGTATTTTGTTTGCTGATTTCCTGAGTGTGAATAAGTGAACACATCCTCTACAGAGACACACTTCTGCGTGTTTTAATACACTCTTATTGTTTATTTGCTGAATTTTGCATTTTGGGAAAAAATGAGTAAAATGTGGCCTGTGAAAAAGTCATGGCACCCTTTACATTTTGTTATTTCCAGCATGTTAAGTTTGACTTGGAGTGTTTAAACTTCATATGACTGTGTAGCATAAAAGTGCCTGTTCCCTCACTGGGAGGGTGCAGGGACGCAGTGAGGTGGGGGGGTGCAGTAGTGAGGTGGGGGGTTAGGGGAACTCTCTGGTGGGCCGACTGAGCTGTTCTGTTATGGTGGTGTTCAGTGTGTCGGCTGTTGTGCTGCGACTGTCGCTTCACTCACAGTCGCACTCAGCAGCTGCTGTTTAACACTGAGAGTTCTGTGTCCTCTCTCACTCCACCTCTCTCTCTCTCTCTCTCTTCTCTCGCTCTCCGTGCACTCACTCCTTCTTTAACGCACGGGCAGTTGTGTCCCTTATTATAACACCTGTCCCTCACACGCTCTCTCGCTCTCTCTTTTCTGTCTCTTTTCTCTCTCCTCCTCTCTCTCTCTTTTCCCTTTTCTCTCTCTCTTTTGTCATTTATCTCTCTCCTCTCTTTGTTTTTCTCCCTGTCTTTTTCTATTTTTCTTTCTCTCTTTTTCTCTCTTTTCTCTTTTCTCTCCCTGTTTTTCCTCTCTCTCTCTCTCTCTCTCTCTCTCTCTCTCTCTCTCTCTCTCTTTCAGACAGTTGTGTCCCGTATTGTAACACCTGTCCCTCACACACACATTTTTTTCTTTCATTTCCCTCTTACCCCATTTTTCTCTCTCCCTCCACTCTATCTCTCTTTTTCTTTCTTTATTTTCTCCGTTTTCATTCTCTTTTTCTGTCTCTTTCTCTCTCTTTTGGTGTTTCACATCCCTGTTACATTTTCTTTCTGTCTGTCTTCTCTCTCTCTCTCCTTCTTCTTCTCTTTCTTTCTCTCTTTTCCTTCATCTCTCTATTTCTGTTTCTCTCCTGTCTTTCTCTTTCTTTCTTTCTCTTTTCTCTTTATTTCCCTGTCTCTTTCCCTCTCTCATTTGACTTTATCTCCTTTTCTCCCCCCTCTCCCTCTCGCTCTTTCTCTCTCTTTCTTTGACACTAAAGCAGTTGTGCCCCATGTCACAACACCTGTCCCTCACTCTCTCTCTCTCTCTCTCTCTCTCTCTGTGAGGCCTGAATGGATCGCTGTGGTTCAGTCTCTCCGTCTTTTTCTGCCGTGCGTTTTTTTTCGCTCCTGTTTCAGATTCAGATCACCGCTCAGGCGCCTTTTGTTGCTCTCTGAGGTTTGTGGAACAGAAAGGGTTTAAAACGTAAGCAAAGCCCCCCAGGGGTCAGAGCCCCCTGAAACGAGAGAGGAGCAGAGAGAGGAGGAGAAATAGGAGGGAAAAAAAAAGAGAAAATGAGGAAACACAGAGAGAAAAATGAAAAGATAAGTAAAAAATGGAGTAACAAGAATTAAAAAGGAGAGAAAAGGAGAAGGAAAGTGCAGAGAAAGAGAGAGACAGTGAGAGAAGAGCAGGGAGAAGAGAGAGAGCGTTAGAGAGAGACAGAACAAGAAAAAGAAGAGAAAAAAGAGGAAACATGAGAGAACAAAGAGAGAACAAAGTAAAGAAAAAGGAGAAAAATGGAGAGAAAGGAGTAAAAGCAGTGAGGAGAGGGTTCTATATAGAAAAGAGTTCTGAAAAGAACCATATACAACACATTCTCCATCAATCTGAAGAACCATTTCTCCATGCAAAGAACCCTTTAAACATACACATGGTTCTTTGAGTGTTCCTGGTTCCATATACGACCACTGCCTTAACTAAAGAACCCTTAAAGAGCTATCTTTTTAAAGAGTGTACCATTCTGAGAAGGCTTTACACTAGATGTTGGAACATTGCTGTGAGGATCTGATTGCATTCAGCATTAGTGAGGTCAGGTACTGATGTTGGATTTGGTGTCTGGACACGTTTGGACGTATTATGTGTATCTCAGTGTTGGGAACGGAGGTATTGTTGGCAGGGATGGTCGATAATATCGGAGTCATATCGGTATTGACAGGTGATTAGATTTGGCTGATGTTTAAACTGATATTTGGTGTATTTAGAACGTGAATGTAATACTAATCAAGTTAGATTTAGTCTCACTTTCTGTGTTTTATAAATGTCTCTGTATCGACTTTGACAGATACACACATGAAAAATACTGGATATCGAAATCATTTACCTAGAGGTGGACGATATGGCAAGAATCTAATATCATGATACTTCAAGAAATTTTCATGATACACGATATGTCAAGACATTAATTTTTTTCAGACATTTGATGAGTTGGAACAGAGAAAAATGAGCCAGTAGTGCTACATTTAAGAAAAATATATAAAAAAAATACCATGAAAAACTGTGAACACAATGATTTTATTCAATATTTGGCACTAAATCCAGTTAATTGTGACTAATTTTGCTCTCTTTAAGCAAGGCAAGTTAATTAATACAGCACTTTTCATACACCGCTGTCATTCAAAGTGCTTTACAAAAAAGAAAATGCACACACACACACATCTTCTAAGCCGCTTATCCTTCTGGGTCACGGAGGGAGCTGGAGCCTATCCCGGCAGTCACTGGGTGGAAGGCAGTATAATAAGAAAATACAGAGTTGTTTTAATAAAAAGTAAAATAAAACATAATTAAAACAATAGTTTTAAAAGAGAAAATCACTAAATAAAAAATCAAATTAGAAATTAAATTAAGTTAAAAAGTTAAATTAGGCTAAAAAATGATACTATAATGATATAGCGAAACATGTAGTTGGTCAGTGTTCTACGTTTACAAGGACTGATAAGTGTATTGTATTGTGACATAGTTTATCACGATTTCGAGACATATCGTCATATCGCCGAGCCCTGCAGTTCCCATAAGGCTGCCTGTCATTGCCTC